TATTTATTTAAAATTATAAATTCATCATTGTAGTGTTTTTTTATTTTAACAATTCAAGTAATTTTAATATATTAAAATAATAAACTAAAATAATATATATATATATATTTAGTAAATTTCCTACCATAAATATATCAAAAATGTATTATCATTAGTAATATGCATTGCTAAGGACTTTATTTGGACAATTTTAAAGGCAATTTTCTCAATATTTAGATTTTTTTGCACCCTCAGATTCCAGATTTTAAAATAGTTGTATCTCGGCCAAATATTGTAAAAAAATCAATTTAAAAAAATGTACCCTTATGACTAGTTTTGTGGTCCAGGGTCATATACTGTATATATATATACTGTATATGTAAAATTATATATGTATATATAATGAAGACCTATTTATAAGACCATTCTACTCTTTACTATTTTTTTTCTTTGTGATTGTTGGAATGATGAACAGTAGCTGAGACAGTATTTGCCCCACAGGTCCTGCAGGTATGCCAGGATATGGAAAAGACGGCCTTCCTGGAGCCGCAGGCGCTCAGGGAGAGCCTGGTAATCCTGGTCCTCATGGTCAGCCCGGACCTCCTGGACCGCTAGGGCAGTGTGACCCCTCACAATGTGCTTACTATGCCAGTCTGGCATCAAGACCTCATACCAAAAACGTCAAGGGGACTTAATACCCCCCTCACTGTCCTGGGCTAACCACCTATTTATGAACTTGGACATTCAGTAAGCCAAGAGCATTTTCTTTAACATCAGGAGAACTACAGAGTCTGAGGGGTGAGTGAATGCGTGTGTGTTTATACGTGTGTTTGGCATGGGCTTTTCACTACAGTTAATGTGTTCTTGAACCCTGAGTTAAGGCCACTTTTAATCCTGGGTTAAGCTTCGTTTCACACTTTAGGTTTTGAAAAGGTGTTAGCATGTAGCATTAGCACTTTCAGCTCTGGGTTATGAAGTCTAGCTCGAGCAGGATTGACTCTGAATAGTGGTGCTGAAGGTATAAAATGTTGAAACAATGCTAGATTATTAGGATCCCACATCCTTTTTTTTTGATTGTCAGACTTTGAAAAATCATGGAAATAGCTATTGTGAATATACACTTTTCATAATAAACTTTAAGTCATTAAAAACTTTACAATTTAGAAAAAAAAAAAGTTTTCTCTCATTGAATCAGATCAACTGGTTCACAAATCGTTCAGTTATTCAACATTTCAAATATTCAAAGTTAAGTTTAAATTTCATTTAAAATCCTTATCAGTTAATCACAAACAGCTTGAAAAGTGACTAAAAAGTCACTAAAATCACTTGCAAAAAATTTGGGGAACTTTGTAAAAACCTCATTAAATAACAGAAGTTTTAACGTTTAGTTTCAGTGTCTGAGAGACAGTTAAACATGCTAAAACGAGTCAGAAAATGATTAATAAAACATGTTGAGTACTGTAGTTCAATGCCCAATCGATGTATTTCACCTCATAAAAATGTAAATAAGAATGTTAACCCAGGTTTTACTAATGTAGAACGTGAAACCTCTACAAACCGATTACCCAGTATTGATTGCTAACTCAGTATGGTGTGAATCTTATAAACCCAGGGTTAAAAATGGCCCTTGGTTAACAGTTTTAAGTGTGAAAAGTCCACTAGCGTCCTGCCGGTCAGAGTTTGTTATGATTTTTTTATTAGAGGAGGGGTGGGTGGGTGTTTAGTGAGTTTAAACTCTAGGTCATTTACTTCCAAGTCAAGGCTTTCAAAGCTTTCCCTGTAACATGAAGACATTTACTTCCCAGACTGTGATCTCATAATGATGCAGTCCAGGTTGTGCCGCCCACACTCAAGTTCTGCTGATGGCGTTTACTGCGGTCATCGATCAGTAATCACAGAGTGGATCCATTGTTAGTGATGTCTGTAGCAGGTCAGGATGTGCTTATGAAGTCTGGGGAATTCTCTACTTGAGTTTTATTGATGAAGCGCTCCGTTGCTCTGGGAAAAAACACCGCGGGACACTTTTCCACTCATCAATAGAAAATCTCATTAGAGGTCCTGGAGGTGATGGAGAAATGTATTTCTGCTCTTTTTAGTCTACGTTTTGTAAGATCTCTTTTGTAGCCATGCATCAGATAAATAACGTCCCGTTTTTTCATTTTGGATCATTAAACTTGTGTTTGTGATGACTGAAAGGCAGCTGCTCAATGCAGTGCCTGTTTGATAGATTAACGCGGCTGGTTTGTCATAAAAACAATTACCAAAAAAGGCTGTCACTGCATAAATACACACGACTGATGCCTCTTATAATGTATTCGTATATAGTTTTGTGTAGCACTTTGCTTTAAAACACCATTGGGTTTGTTATTATGGAAGTTCCAGAACACAGAGTCCTAGTTAAAGCAGTACTATCATTTGTGGCACTAAAGCGTTCAGATGGATCGATCCTGCAGATTGTTCCCCTGTGAGCCAATTAAAGTCATTGACTGCTTCAGAACGAACTCTCTTCAGCCCACAAACAGGGATGCAATTCATCTTCAACTGACGGGCATTGTAGCATCAATGAGGTCAAGGATAGATTGATGTTAGAAGGCTCTTGAGCATTTAGTTGTTTTTGAGTTCGCGTGACTGAAATTGTAATATCCAAAAGAAACAAGATTGTCTTAGTGCCCAAATGTTAGTTTGTTTTTTCTTTAAGATCTGTTCTTTGTTTTCCCTTAAAATCATGTTATCCTTGAAAGGAATTTTCAGTGTTATTGTATGAGTATTATTTTTTGAATGGCACAACTGACCTCTTCTTTGTAGAATTTTTACCCTCTGATCATCAGGTTCAAAATTTTTATTTATTTTTTTGCAAAAGCTAATGCTTCTTATTTTATGCAAACATTTTATTTTATTTTATCCCTATACTTACCTGACAGATAAGTCTCTCGGTGAAAGAGGGAGTGGTCTGTGCTTTTTTTTTTTTCAGCCAATCAGAAAGTTTCTTTCCCCGTCAGTCAGTTTGTATGTTCATGTTGTCTGTTTTTGCAGGGTGAGATTTTCAGAGAGCGGTCGTGTTGAATTTAACAAATAAAGCTGAAATAGCTTACAGCATCATTAGTGGATAAGAATGATTTGAATATGATGATTTTAATGCAAAACCAGATGTGATACTGCATAGGCTTGTTGTTTACCTTCTAATTCAATGACCACGATAAAGCTCTTAGTAATTAGTATTATATACACATACTTAATAAAAAAAACAAAATCTTGTTTTGTTTTTTTTATTGTTTGTCCATCTTTGCCCTGCCTAGTGTAAAAGCTGAGCTTATTACTGATGCAAATTGATGTAAATTAATGGTGCTTTTTCGATGCAAGTCAAAGAAATCATGTTTTCCTCCACTTTATTCAAATATGGTTGCTTTTTGACTTCGTATCCTCCTGTTAGTTCGGCTTCTTCAAGCCGATAATGACTGTATTTGTTTTTCCATATCAATTTGCATTAAATTATTTTAATGAACTACAGGTGCAGGTGATGTAAAAAAGTATAATTTATGCATGGTATATTTCACTTGTTTATACTCTGGTGCTACGGTTAAGCTTAATTAGGCTGATGTATGTGTATGTGTGTGGGGAGAGTGTGTCTGTTAATAAAGTCTGGATCAGGTCCATTTTCTAGGATTGGGTTGTTATTGTGAGAAAAAAAAAAGAATCTGTTATTAAGTTTATACCATATACAGTGTTCTTCAGTAATGAATTTACAAGTTTGCATGTTTTATTCCTGAAACAGTCTAAATGAACAAAACATGAATGATCAATTGTATTAACTAATATGAAAGGATTATTTGTTAAGATAACTTCCATATGTCCATGTGGATTGAAAAGGTGTTTCGTTTTTGTAAAGGCAATTTTCATTTGTGTAATTAAACTTAATCATCAAGTACAATATTACTAAGATTTTTAATACCTTAATTTTCTGTTTTAATGAGTTAATGTTTTATGAGCTTTTTCTTAAAAGCTTCAAAATTCAAAATTATTTTCTTGAATTATCTTTGTAATTATTATAGTAATGCACTTACAATTGACTTACAATAAGATTTTGTGCTAAAACCACTTAGCACTATTTGTGCAAAGCGCTTATTAGTCCATTGAACAATTCTATGGAAAACAACAATGCAGTCGGTTGTTTTTAAACCCTATATGAGTGGAAATTAGTTTCTGTTGTAGTTGACAATATGTTATAGATGCTGAACATGGAGTTTAAGGTGTATTGAACCTTACATGAGCGTCATTCTGGAATAGTTCCTTTTTGTCAATCTGTATTTATAATTATCTTGAAAATGACCTTAAAATATGTAGTGGACAACCAACTAGTTTAACTACTAATTTTAAAATAAAAACAATCAAAACACTTGAACGGTAAGAATTACTTTGTTTACCTGCATGTGATTGTGACTATAAACTGACATAATGGTGAAGGTGTCATTACATTATTGAAATAACTTAACATTTTTACTTGAAGTCCCCCCTGAGATTTTAAGTTGGCAGGGTTCGGCGGACAAAAGAGTTCGGGAATCCATTCTGTTTGGTGTGCATGTGGATTATACCGTAAATGCATTTTAATGTATTTGGAAAACAAAGCCCTCCAAAAAAATTTTGGTTTTTTTTTTTTTTAGAAAAGAAAATGTAAGCAAACTGAAGAAGAATTAGGGTGAATTAATAAATTACGAACAATTTACTGCCATTGAATATGTTATGTAATCTATAAAAAAGTAACTGTAATCTGACTATTTTAAAATGTAATCTAATTACAAGTACCTATTTTCTGGAATCTGATTACGTAATCCAGATTACATGTAATCAGTTACTATCCAGCACTGAATGTAACATAATCAGGCCTCCTGAAACATCAACAAAGTACATTTTCTGTCACTAATTGTATAATATTATATGGATTTTATCTACTGGTATATTGACAGAAACCTCTTATTAAAGCTTTTCAAGATAAACCGTAGCACACTGGTAGCATGGTGGTGAAAAGCTTTTATTTCAAGCTGTTGTAGGATCACACTGTCATTCTGTTGGCGTAGCTTATTGTCTGGCACCATGTCTAAAATTGGCCTTTACAATCACATTTGATGAAAAAATATTTTTAAAAATTCAATTCTATGGCATGTAGTGGTCTGGAAATGATCGATTATAGCAGTTTGTGGCCCAAGAACTGAAACATCAATTACCAATTAATTTATTTATCTGCGATTTACTGTAAACCTCCTGAAAGAACAAACACATTTACTTTTAGTTTATGTACAAGGTACAACAAATCCACCATCAGGAGCTGCATCCGTGTGTCTCTATACATCTGTCACGTTTGTTTCTCTCACCGTCTGCTCGCCATTTGAAGTCTCTTCAAGTTTGTCGGAAATGAACTGGCTGGTGATGACTGTGATGAAGATTTCTAGAAGGTTTCTTTCGTTCTGTTCATGGACCCTTGATGTTGACAGACCTCTTCCCGCCAACCATGTAAAGAGGTTGAGGCCTAAAGCAGTTTGAAGGATCACAAAGACCAGGGGCGCCCGGAGGTCCTCTGGCTCCAAGGGTTCCTGGGGTTCCAGGCACACCGGCGTCTCCTCTGGCCCCATCCTGACCGTCCTTACCGATGCCAGGCTTGCCAGCTGGTCCTGTTTTATGAAATCAGATTTGATAAGGAAGGGTTTTGAAAATATTTATGTAAGAAAATGTTTCGTTGGGTTTTCACTATGACTCAGTTATCTTTTGAAATGATGGTACAATAGGATTAGCAGAAAGTGTTGCGTACCTTGAGGTCCGGGTTCTCCAGGAATTCCTGGAATTCCAATTCCAGTATCTCCCTTGTCACCTTTTTGTCCTGCATCACCTACACACATATATTATTATTAGACAGTCTATCACATTGTGACTCTCCACAGACAAAACACAATCTTACAGTATGGCCCAGCAAATTTGTTTATATAGCACATTTCATAAACAACAGTAATTCAAAGTTAAAAAAATAATAATAATAAATAAATAAATTAAATAAAGTCACATACAAAGATGCATAATGTATTAAAAACAAAAAGTAATGGCACTGACCTCATTCAGATAATCATCATCTGCATAAGATAATATTATGGTACTTTATGTTTACATATTTGGTGTGTGTGTGTGTGTGTGTGTGTATTACTATAGTACACTAACATTCAAACTTTTAGGGTCAGAAAGATTTTTTTTAATGTGTTTGAAAGAAGTATTTTATGTTTACCAAGGCTGCATTTATACAGTAATATTGTGAAATATTATTACAATTTAATGACCTGTTTTCTATTTGTATATATTTTAAAATGTAATTTATTCCTGTGATGCAAAGCTGAATTTTCAGCATCATTACTCCAGTCTTCTGTCCTTCAGAAATCATTCTAATATGCTGATTTGCTGCTCAAAAACATAATAATAATAATAATTATTATTATTATTAATGTGTAAAACAGTTGCGATGCTTAATTTTTTTTTTTTTTTTTTTTCTAGGTTCAAAGGAACAGCATTTATTTAAAATATAAATCTTTTGTTAACGTCTTTATGGTCACTTTAAAAAAAAAATAATTTTAATGCATACTTGCTGAATAAAAGTATTATTATTTAAAAAAAAAAGATTTTCTATCAGTAGAACATAGACAAACATCTCTTCTACATAAGTTTACTGCCAACTTTATTTCTTTTACCGAAAAACATATAATAATAATAGTGTAATTTTCATAGCTCTCCCATGTGGATCTGGAGCATTTTAATATTTGGTTAGAGAGGAGGTGTGTTTGTTTGGCCATAAAAAAATTGACAATGGTTTCATGGTGCAAAGCTAGCACAAATACATATTGTTGTACTGAACACTGAAGAGCTGCATTCACACCTCAGTCTTTGGCCTGTTAGCTGACTGGGATTGATGGCTAAATTCTTATATTTAAAGCTCGTATAAGGGACCTGGGAAACCCTTGTGAGACTGCTGACATTTCTACAGTCAAAAACCCTGCAAGGCACGAGACACGAGTCTTGAATGCTAGAATGTTTTCTACATTTATCAACTTCAATAATCATGCTCACATCCTCAGAGGTTTGGCAGAAATAACTGAGGTAGATTGAGATGCTGTCGGGGGCTTTTCTAATTATCCTGTTATTGCTTCTCAATCTCTGTCTCATTAGCGAGCATAGCATTCCTCCTCGGCTCGCTGGCAATTAGCGCCGACGGCACTCACTGTACAACAGCCTCCGCTTGTGAGGACAAAAGAACTGCAATGCTAAACATTCAGGAGGCTGCTACCCTTCATTGACCAGCAACTGATGAAAAAAATCAAGGTGTGCTCGCAGTTTTAGCCTGTAAATTCTGCCTGAGGCAAAATCCACTAATGAAATATAATAAAAACGGCTGATTCTTGCAGGGGTATTCAGTTGTGCACATTATGTGATATTAAAGGAAGTACAGTATACACCATCAGCATGATGGGGATTGCCAAAGAGGATATTTACAAATGTGTTCACCTACTCAAACTACCCATCTTTTTAAAATCTACTAGTTGGTAAGTTGCCTGAATGACTAGTAAGTGTTAAGGAAGCACTGTTCATTATTATCATTGTATTAGTATCATTGGGTTACTTTAATATTTTTTTATTAATATTTGTAATTGTTTTTATTTGTATATTTTCTGTTTTCATTTTAATTTTAGTTAAAATTGTGGTCATTTTGTTGTGTTTTTGTAATTTTTATTAATTTTAGTCTTCTTTTTTTTTTATATGTCTGTCATTTTTATTTATCTTATTTTCAGTTTTAATTTTAAGCTGTTTTAGTACATCAAGTTAATCTACATGAAAATGAGAAATGTTGCTTTGACAACTAGCTGAAATTAAATAAGTTTTAGTGTTTGTATATTTTATTTCAGTTAAAGTTTATTTTATTCCAAGTATATGTAATAATAACCCTGATACACACACTTGTTTTTTTTTCATTTCATTTTTTTTTTTTAATACTTTTTATGTTGGAATTTTTTTATTTATTTATTTTTTTTTCATTTACATTTTGAAAGACTAATAGCAAAATTAACCATTATTATTTAATGGTACGTTAACTCAAGGATTAACTGACTAATCAGAAAAAAAAACCTTATACTAAACTAGTAAAAAAAAAAAACAGGCTAAAAAAACTTTGCGCATAATTATCATAGTCCTCACAAAATCATAGATTATCCATGGTAACAAAAATTTTGCAAATTTTGCCAAAAAAAAAAAATATATATATATTTCACAGCATCTTAATACTAATGGCACAAGACATTCAAAAACATGAGATGCTATGCAATAGCTAAAGCTACAGATGAAATAAAATATTGAATCCTGTATGGAAAACAGAATATGGAATAAATTCCATGTCTTTGAAAGCATAAAAAGCATGATGCAGCTGAAGCTTAACTGAATATTTCATACGAGTGTTTAATCTTAAGAATTCATAGGCAATAAAAAAACAAACAAAGACATTTGCAATCAGCGTTAAGTGTGCTCACTGCATCCTCGAGAGCTCAGCTGTAATTCAGCTGACAGCAGAGCACTAATTGGGACAGTGAAACATGGTTTGGAAAAATCAGAGGAAGTGAGAATCAAACCAACGTACCTTTGGCTCCTGGTTTTCCAGGAAGACCGTAGTATCCTTGAGGTCCCTTGGGGCCCATGATTCCTCTGGGTCCGGCTTCTCCAGCAGGACCTGCTGGTCCCGGTAGTCCAGGTGGTCCCATGAGTCCTGGAGTTCCAGGGGCTACAATGGCAAGAGGCTTCTTGGCTACTTCCTTCTTGTAGGCATCTAAATGCTCTGTTTGGTACAATACAATATTATACGTTAGTTGCCATTTATAAAGCAAAATAAAGTTGATGTTGGTGTTTCAAAGTGATTAATAAAGATGCCATGCCTTCAACAACAGCTGAACAAATCTCACGGATCTTCTCGTCACTCATCTTAGGCCCCTATTAAAAGTAAATTGAGGACAACATCAGCAACAACTGCAGAGCAAGTATTTCTAAAGAAGCAACGTACTGTCCACTCAAAATTGAACAAAGCAATGTACTCACAGGTAGACCTCTGGGACCAGGGGGTCCTGATAGTCCTCGTTCCCCCTCCAGACCTCTGGCTCCCTGCGGTCCGGTCAGACCCTCGTGGCCTGGCTGTCCTGGACGACCATCAGCTCCTGTAGCTCCTCTCTGGCCTTTCTCTCCACGCTAGGATGACAGAAGGAGTAAGGAGAAAAAACAACAAAAACTAGATTTGCATTTCTTAAAGGAAAAGTGTTCAAGTTTAGATAAAAAAAGGTTAAGTTTAAAGGTGAATTAAAAATTTTGATCTCTCTCTCTATATATATCTCTCTCTCTCTCTATATATATATATATATATATATATATATTTTTTTTAATAATATAGTCATTTAAAAAAATTGTAAAGTATTTTATGAGAAATCATTTGAAAAAAAAACCTTATTATTTATTGGTAAATTAACATGAAAAGAATTAAAAGATTATTGATAGATTATCTAATTGATAGATTAGACATACATAAATATTTGGGGGGAAAAATTTTTAAATGACTTTATGAAAGAAATATTTTATGTATAATACATTATTGATTTATTTTCTATATCAATAGATTTGAAAATAACTTTTTTAGTCTTTAGTCTAAAACTCCAATAATATGAGTGTTTATGAAGGATGGCATGCTTACATCACTCTTGATTCCAGGAATACCCGGAGGCCCCTGTAAACCATTATTAAAAACCATCAGATTACTGTACACATACTGATATATCATAATTAGAGGGTGCAATGGTATGCAGCTATAAATATGACGAACCTGATCACCCTTCTCGCCTGGTTCTCCTACAACACCTGGATCTCCCTGTAGAGCGATAAGAGGAAAAATACAATTACATGGTATTCATACAAGTGCAGGGAGCAACAGCCATCTAAACGGTCACTGAGTACATTCTAATTTACCTCACTTCCTTTGGGACCAACAGGACCCATTGGGCCCTAAAAAAAAAGAAGAAAAAAAGACATGATCATACACAAACAGCGAGCAATAATACATTTCTGTGTTATGATTATTACAATGAACAATGACCACACCTGGTCTCCTTTATGACCTGTGTGACCCTTGATTCCACGAGGGCCCATGAGTCCTTGATCACCTTTATCTCCCTGAGGAAGTAGTCAAGATTATGAATTACAATAACAATGTATAATTGTATAGCACTTCACCAAATAATTGCCTTTTATCAGTACTCATGCATGTACTGTAATTATGCTAAATGAGGAAAATGGTGTGATTAACCACCCATTTTTTTTCTAAATTTATTGAATGAGGTAGATGTAATATTATACAAGTATGTTGTGTCCCAAAGTTGCACACTATATCTGTTCTAAATAGTATGCACAATTAGTATTAGTGCATCACGTATCATTTTATATTGAAAATAGTATGCAAATAGTGCATGATGACTGCATGACTGAATGACTGCATGCTTTTTAGCAAATATTGCCCATATTGTCCAACAGCGACTATATAGCAGGATTTCTGTCGGTTTTAAGAAAGAAAATGTAGAAAACTTTTTAAGACCAAGGAAAGAAAATAAAAGGAATAATTGTATTAGCAATGCTTCAATTTTTTAAAAATCAATTTCCAATAGATTTCCATTACTTTTAAATTTATAAAAAAAAATTTTTAAAAAAAGTTATTGCTCAGTATTTCCTCAAGATACATTTACTTGAGAAGCAAAATGACAAAATAAAAAGTCTTCTTTTTTTTCTGAGAAATTTATCAAATTGAAGTGAGTTTAAAACATTAAAACATTAAAACAAGAAGAGATATCTGCCAATGGGCTAAAAAAAAATTAATAAACTTAACTAAAACTAACATTTTTTAAGCATGAACTCACTTTGTGTTCAATTTCTCAGAAAACAAGACTTCATATATTCAGTTTGCATCTCAAGTAAATGTATCTTAACTTAAGGATGTTTAGATATTTGTACTAGAAAGCAAAACAAAAGTACTGTGGAAGATATACATTTTTTTTGGAAGCATGCAACATTTTTTATGTCCTTCGTTTTTTATGTCCTTTTCAGTCCTTCGTTTGTGGAGGAGGAATTAAGACTGATCTTTTTAAGACCTGCAGAAACAATAATAATAAAAAAAAAACTAAATTGTGTATTGATACTAAATTCATTATTTAGCTAAATGAAAGAACTTATGTGGTATCAATACACAATTTCGTTTTTTTACTTGCACAATGTACGGTCTTTTCCATCTCAAGCAGAGTACATATGTTTGATGCATAGCTTTAGTATGCAAATTGGGACACAACCCTTAAGATCCATAATCAGACCAACAGGTTCTTCCATGTGTCCAAGTCCAACCCACCTGGATTCCCTGCGGGCCCGTTGGGCCAACTGGACCATGCTTTCCTGGTTCACCCTGAGGAAGGAAGTTTGTTGCTTACTTGAATACAATTTTTAAGAAATTACTATGAATTTGTAGTCTAATCTATTGTAACCAACGGAAAAAAATGATTCTACAAAAAAAGAAAAAACTTTAAAGAAGAAAAAAAAAATATTTATATGTTTGAATTATGCTTTTATTACAGAGGTTCCTTTGGCTCCTGGAGTTCCATCTTCTCCTGGTGGTCCAGGTGCTCCCTATATGTAAAATTAACATACAACAAAATATAACAGTATCTTAAATATATATACAGAAAGAGACACACAAAAAGCTGATATCATAATACTCACATCTTTACCAGGAAGCCCAACTGGACCAGTCAGTCCTACAGTGCCAATTTCACCCTGTAAAAGAGAGAGCCATCGCATGCATCACTGTTTTCAAATTTAAATGAGATTCAGCATATATTATTTTTCATGTAAATGAAGTTTTACCTTTTGGCCTGCAGGCCCCACGAGTCCCTGTTTTCCTGGTAAACCCTGAATTTGAGATGCAGCATTGTTTAGCCAAGGTGAGTTGCAGACTACAAATGAGTGAAAATTTCTTTACTTGTTTACTGCATAGTAGGCAAACCCTCATTTACTGTATTTGCATTCAGAGTAACAGCAGCAGCTTTGAGAATCATTTGAGGAAAAGCACACCAGAATAGCACATAATAAAACATATGCACAAGCTGATTAACTCACTGGAATTCCCACAATTCCTCTGACACCAATGGTTCCGGGCAAACCTGGCTCTCCCTGTCGAGCAGACAACAAAATCACAAATGCGTCTTCATTTTTTATCATTCAACAAAGCCAGATTTAGGAATCATCATTTTGTGTCAAAGCAATATGCATTTTAATAATCAAATTGGTATAATTCAGCATAATAAAAACTGGAAATACATTGCAGTGCACCAGGTACAAACATATATTCTGATTTTTATGCATTATAAAAATCTTGATCATAACTCACCTTCTCTCCTGAAGCTCCTGGTGCTCCCTCAGATCCATGCTTTCCTGGCTCACCCTACAGATTAACAATCTTTATCATCATCATTAAATTTCTTCCAGTAACATTTAATAATTATTACAGTGACATTGAATATGAAGGTCATTTTGAGCATAAATCTGATCAGTCAGTCACTCACAGTGTCACCCTTGGCTCCAGGAGCTCCTTTCTCTCCCGGGGCTCCAATCGCACCCTAAAACAACACATTCGAATTCTTCAGAAAGAATCAGTGTACTTTAAATGATTTTTACAGATTTTTTTATTGCATAGTGTTTTTGATTAGGGTAGATCATATGGACAACAATAACTTACATCATCTCCTTTAGGCCCAGGATGTCCCTGTCGCCCTCTGATGCCTTCAACACCCTGTTAAGACACACAAATATTATTATTTTTGAATATTATATTAAACTGTATAAATCACAAAACTAAATATAGAATTTATTATCATTAATACATTTTGTATTTATTATTCCATATTTATAAATATAGAATGTATTATCTGTACAACTGTTAGCTCCAGGGCTTTTGTGCAAAACTTCATATCATGCATAACATACTGCATTTTTGCATCCCCGCACATGGATAGTCTAATCGAGCCCATTGCATTATGGGTGTTGAAGTTTTGCTACCCTTTTCATCACAGTCCCTCTGAGACTCTGTTTTGTCTGTTTTTTCAGCACAATTTTTTTTATTTGTGTTTTTACTGCATAGACAGCCAACTTTTATTAAAACCCCATTTTACCAGCAGTGATTTACCCACATTAACTTAAATTTTATGCTAATTAATGCAAAAAAATGATTTATTAATTTGTTTTATTATTGTATTAATAACAACAACAACAACTAGATTGAAAAGTTTGTAGACAGACTTTAAGTTAGCTTGAAAAAGCCTAGCTAGAAAGTTTGAAAGAGTTTGAAAGTTAAAATAGTTTTAAAGATTACATTTTGAATGTTTTCAAGGCAATACAGTCTATCAGAAAACCAGATAGGTATAAAACATATTGCTAGGGTACCTGGGGTGGTTGCTAGGCTGTTTCTAGCATGACTAGCAGGTTGCTAACATGTTTTTTAGCATGATTGGCATGTTACTAGCATGTTGCTAGCATGATTCTAGCAGGATTAGCATGTTACTAGCATGGTGTTAGCATTTTGTTAGCATGATTAGCAAGTTACTAGCATGTTGTTAGCATGTTTCTATGCTAATCCAGCTAAAACAAGTTGATTCAGTGAAAAACCAGCTAATACCAGCCTGGCCTGCTAAAAAAAGTGGCCAAAACCACTTTAAAACCAGCTTGGGAGACCAGCCAAAGCAGCCAATCAGCTTAGGCTGGTTTTAGCTGTTTTTTTTTCTTCAGTATGAAGTTGTTGAGCTTTGCTATAGCAATAGACAGCTTAAATACACCATAAGTCTTGTTGTATAAAAGTTTGATGAAAGTCTATGGGATTTTAGGTGGTTTTGATAGTCTGGTTTACAAAAACTGTAAGCCGGATCAGTTAGAAAAGATATAGCAACCCGAGTCAGACCAGTCTGAGAGTCTGACCCGAGTTTGGTTGTTGTAGCTTTAAAAGTCTAGGAGGAGATACATTTTAAAATTTGGTCTCAGACTCAGTCTCAGACTCAGAAGACGAAGACTCAGAAGAAGAAGAAGACAAAGACGAAGACGAAGAAGACGTTTTTTCAAGCCAACTTAACAATAATAATAATTATTATTACAATTATTTATATTGGATTACCTACCTAAAATAACTTGAACTCATCTTAAAATCTTGTTTTATAACCTATAAGCTCTCTTGAACTACATTTCCACTAGGCTGGTTTGCTGTACATTCTTTTCCCATAAATATCAGATGAAGTAAGACTTAAATCCTCTGTACTTTGATACCAGACTTTAGTTCAGAACATTTTGATCATATATTTGATATATATATTTTTTAAATCAATGAAATACAGCTCACGTACTGGTGATCCTGGTGGTCCAGTGGGTCCTGGGATCCCGTTGAATCCAGGAGGACCCTGCAGACATAAAACACACTGGCTAGCTCTTATAATATTATACCCACCCTTGCTTTTTGTTCTGCATATATTATGCTCACACAGCCGTTTCAATCTGTGCAATCACTGCAGAAGTTATTTGATTGGATGTATTGAGCTTTAAACAAATGTAGTTATAATTTCATGCATTGATTAGCCTGGAGGATATTGCTCTGTAAGCATTCCTCTGGTTTCTCACTCTTTCCTCGTCTGCTTCAGATGAAGATGTTGTAAGTCTTACCCGATCTCCTTTATCACCATGAGTTCCAGGGAATCCAATTGGTCCTCGCTGACCCTGTATGGAAATTTGTTATTATATATTTATTTTTCTTTTCATTACTTGTTTTGTTTATAATGCTTTGCCAATATTGTATGTAAAGACAATCATGCCAATAGAACACTTTAAATTTAAATTTATATTCTTGGTCACAGCTGATACTGAAAACACACCATACTCCATAATGTACGAACAAATAAACACGTTTTCATACATCATCTCCTGGACGTCCAGGAGGACCTGGCTCACCAGCGGCCCCTCGCTCTCCCTGTTAATAAAGAAGAACATGACTATGATTAAAATCTCAGGCGAGCTTGTGTATTGCTGCTTCTTGGTTTTCATCATTATTAAGATTAGAGCAGTCTTACCTTTTCACCTTGGGTACCTGGCACACCGTCCACACCTGGAAGACCTCGATGTCCCTGGCACAGAGATTCAATTTAGTAATACACTCATTCATTAGAGAAGTAGTTGGTGTTTAACCAAAGAAACATTCTTCAGCTAGCAAAATGTATAGTTACTCCAGAAAGCACATTTAGTCTTTCTGCAACAAGAAGTAAATGGAATCTATAAAGAAACGTTATTGCTCATTTTAAATTTGTTGTTAATTTTTTTTTATTTAAAGCAATACTTCATTGTCTTAAATTTTTATATTTTTGGAATTAAAAAAAAAACATTTTAACTCTTGTTTTATGAGCCAAAGTTAGGGTTGGGGACTCACCTTCATCCCCGGCAGACCAGGCATTCCCTGCGGTCCAGCTGGACATGTTGTCTGGCACTGCTAACAAAATGAGACACACAAATACATTAGGTCTATTCATCATCAACTGTAGGACCAGACAGGAAGTGAAGAATAACACACAACCAGCCTGTAGCTCACTAGAGACATACAAACCAAGTACTGACGATTTCAGATGAGGGAGCACAACAGACACGGCAGCCAACTGTCAACTCTTTTCATGAGCAAATGACAAATTATTATGGCTGGGTATTGAGATATATTTCACAGTTTGATTACATTTCTATGCACAAGCTTGCGATTCAATTCAGTTTTGATCTCAAATCAATTTGATTAAATTTAGAATCATTTAGATATATTGTCAATC